ATTTTTAGTCTGAAACGACCAGGGATAGGCCCTGAACTTCAGGCTTTTGGCCTGAACCGACAGGGGGCCTGTAAGCCCTGGATTTCAGGCTTTCGACCTGAAGTTCAGGCTTTTAGCCTGGACGGACGCGGGCCTGCAAAATGGCTGTCGGGCCTGCAAAATGGCCCGTGTGTGCACGCGCTGCATGTAACACCCCCCCCTCCTTATGAAGTCAAGCCGGGGCGAGGGCGAAGCCGTCGGTCTGAAGGTGGAACCTGGACGCGGGCGCGGCGTGGAGCCGAAGAATCCGGCTTGCTTTGCATCTTGCGTTCGTAGCGTGCGAGAACGTCTGGAGCTGTTGCTTGCAGTTCCGCACGGGTCAACCAACGATCAGCTCGATAAGTGCAGTAAGCAAAATGCACCAGATACTCAGTTGGCTTGTTGCCGTAGCGTCTCTGGGAGATGATGTCGCCGACCTCCTGAAAACCATCCATAGAAGGTGGATCCTGCGTACGTCTCCCGGGAAAATCATCATGTTCTGCAGGCGTGTACAGAGCCAATTTGGAACAATGAAAGACTGGGTAGACGGGCAAGTGGCTAGGCACCTGAATCGTGAAGGAAGGCCCCTCAGGTGCGTCCCCAGYGGGCTCGATGATCGGCCAAGGCCCTATCCATTTCGGAAGGAGCTTGCGAGAGATGTCCTGTTCAAGGCTGAATTCCGCTGCTGAAACCTAGACAAGGTCTCCGGCGCGGAATGGACAAGGAAGACGCTGGCGATTTGCCTGTTGGCGCATGCGCTGTTGCGTCTTAGCCATCTGGTCGCGTGCCTTGACAAGAAGCTCTTGCATCCGACGCAAGAAAAGAAGATGGTCGTCGCTCTCGGCCGTGCGTGGAGTAATCGTGTCCAACGGTGACGTGACCGGCGAGCCGTGCTCGAACTCGAAGGGCGATATCCCAATAGCCGGGTGGATGGAAGAGTTGTAGGCCAACTCAACGTCCGGCAGTCGCTCAACCCAGTCTTTCTGGTCGGGGCGGATGAGAGTGCGAAGGAGAACCTGTGCGGTCTGATGCGCCCTCTCAGTCTGGCCATCGATCTGAGGGTGGCGAGCTGAACTGGGCTTGAGAGAGGAGCCCAATCGCTTGATGAGCGCCAACCAAAAATCGGACATGAACCGAGTGTCGCGGTCGCAGACGATCTCCTTGGGGTAACCCTTGGTGCGAATCCAACCGACGTACAGAACCTCGGCCAACTCCGGTGTCTTGGCATGATAGCGATAAGGCAAGAACATGGCGAACTTGGTGAGTCGGTCGACCACCGTGAGAATCCCATCCACTCCGGTCTTGTGCTTGGGGAACGGGTCGGTGATGTCCATGGCAATCGCTTCCCTTCGCCTCAACGGGACTGGCAATGGTCGTAACTCGCCGTACGGACGGTGGTTGCGGGATTTGCAGCGTCGGCAAACCTCGCATGACTCGCAATAGCGCGTGACGTCGCAGAGAAGGCCGGGCCACCAAAATCGCTGGCGAAGTCGGCTAATCGTGCGATGGACTCCAAAATGTCCAGTGGCGGGAGCATCGTGGAACTCGCCAAGAAGCCGTGTACGCAAAGAATGTCCTTCCCCCGCGTGTGGACAAGCAAGTACCCCTCTTGGATCCGGTAGTGAGAAGGAGCCGGATTAGGAGAGGAGCAATTCGCGTACTTGTTGCGAAACTCGGGGTCGGCTTGGTAGCCGCGGATGAAGCTGTTCCGCAGGTCGTCGTCAATCTCGAAGGTCGAGTAGACTGCGGTACAATGATCCGGACGCCGTGAGAGAGCATCCGCAAAACGGTTCGACTTCTCGGGAATGTGATCGGGAAAGAAGTTGAACTGGTCAATGAAAGCCATCCATCGGGCGATGGTGCTGTTGACGGTGTCTTGGGTCTTGTAAGAGACCAACGGATTGTTGTCCGTCACCCAACAAAATTGGCTTCGACCAAGGAGGAAGTGCCGCCACCGCTTGAGCGCGTGGACGAAGGCGAGGCGCTCCTTCTTGCGTGCATCGTCAATGGAATGCACGAGTGGCACTTTCTTGCTGAAGTACTCGACCGGGTGTCAGTCCACACCATCTTGTTGCTCGAGGACTGCACCAATGCCATAGCCTGACGCATCCGTAGTGACACGTGTAGGCGCGAGTGGGTCGTATATCCGCAAGACCTCTGCAGACAATAGCGCGGCTTTGAGAGCGAGGAATGATCCCCGCGCCTCCTCTCCAAAGTCAAATGGCCGATCCTCGCAGTGAAGCTTGTTCAAGTGGGCCGCGATCTTGGAGTAGCCTTTGATGAAGCGCTGATAGTAGCCGGTAAGACCGAGGAACGAGCGAACATCCGTGACGTTCCGAGGCTCCGGCCACTCTTGGACGGCCTGAATCTTGTCCGATAGCGGACTGATGCCCTCCGGTGTGACAAAATGGCCCAAGTATTCCAGCTCTTGCCGGACAAATTCGCACTTGTCGCGGTTGGCCTTGTACTTGGCACGGCGGAGCGTCTCCAACACTCGTCGAAGATGTCCAAGATGATCCTCCAATGTCCGGCTGTAGACGAGAATATCGTCTAAGTAGACCAGCACGAATCGGTCCAACATTGCACGGAACTCATTGGTCATCGCCGCCTGGAACGTCGTCGGGGTGTTGGTGAGGCCAAAAGGCATGACCACCCACTCAAAATGCCCGTACCGAGTCTTGAATGCGGTTTTGTAGCGATCGTTCGGCTGAATCGAGATTTGATGATATCCTGATTTCAAATCCAACTTGGAAAAATACTTCGCACCGCCTAATCGCTCGAAAAGATCGTCGATGCGAGGAAGAGGCCCCGCATTCTTGACGGTTTGCGCGTTGAGCTTGCGGTAGTCGATACACAATCGTAGATCCTTGTTCTTCTTCCTGACGAAGAGAACTGGTGCTCCATATGGGGAGCTACTCGGGCGGATCCAGCCCTTGGCCAACAAATCATCGAGTTATGCGCGGAGTACCTCAAGCTCCTCCTCGCTCATCCGATAGATGCAACCTTTCGGCGGCACGGCACCGGCCTCAAGAATGATCTCGTGAGAGATCGGCCGACCCGGCACCACACCGGTAGGTGACTCGAAGATGTCGGCGAACTCGTCCAGCAACCGTACCACACGGGGGTCCGAAGATAACTCCGTGGGTGAAGAGTTGGCTACCGCGACGGTCCGTAGGAAACATATGCCGATTTCCTCGGGCTGCTCGTAAGCACAAGTCGCCCGAAATGATTTGGCCGTCACCACTTGGCACCGGATCGAAGAGTGCGGTAGAGGAATCGTACACGCCACTTCCGCACCGAAGGCGTCGCGAACGCTAAGAGTCCGCCGATGGAAGTTGACCGTGTGATCCGCACTTGCAAGCCAAGGCATTCCCAGAATGATGTCGAAGTCCGTGTCGAGAATATCGAACGTCACCGGTTCGCATGCATGAGGTGCGAAGTAGACCGGTACGGCCTCGATGTAACGGTCGAGTAGTTGCTGCGTCTTTCCATCCGCCAACTTGATCGCCGTCGGGTTTGCCTTTCTCCGAACTTGTGCACCAAGGCCAGCTCTTTGCATAAAAGACTGGCTCATGAAGTTGCGAGTTGCGGCGCTATCCAGCAAAGCGCTGCAGGACGCTTGCCCAACCTGGATGCGGACATACATGAGCRGTGCATTGTTGTTATCGTACCGCTGCGTGCGAAACTCGCGGGCCACCTTGGTAACGTATGCCAGGATGTCCCCCATCGCGACTTCGTCATCCGTCGACGAAGTTGATGGTGCATAGAAGGAAAGGTAAGTGTGGAGATGAGCGCATAGTGCTGCGCATTGCGGTCCCGGCAAACAGCCTGTGGTCGGGAGAGGAAACCATGCAAAGTCCTCAGACGTGAGCGGGTCCAAAACCTCTATCTTGAACTCGCGCGCCGAATCCCGTGACGAACCACTTGAAGACGATATGTTGCTGTTGCCGGACGGAGAAGAAACCGCACACACTCCTTGTCCTTGAGCTTGAGTACCCAACGTTGGAACGAGCCGGGCAGCATAGTCCTCAAAAGAAAATAGAAGCGGAGGACTGTCGACTTCCGCGTGCGCTTCGGAATGAAGGCTGGTCACTCGCGAAGAAACCAGTTCCGAAGGTGTCGAGAGTGTCGTCGCGTCACTCTCGGCGGTGCTCAGTTTCCCTGTCTGCCGTTGCCTTTCAATGGGCAAACCTGCGTCTGATGAAGATCGCTGTTGCACCAAAGGCAATAGTGGAATCTCTCGCGCGCCTTGTAGGCGGACTCGGAGATGTCGTACGGGGTCCATGGGCCTGTCTGAGCTGCTGCACCGGGCCCGGGGCTAGAAACGGTGTGTGTTTTTGGCTTGCCGCGACCTCAGCCTCTGCCGGGGCGGCCACCTTCCCGGGCGGCTGCGAATTTGTCCCCTTCACTGGCAGACGCAGCCTCGCTGGATTGGTCTAATGGCGGTTCCGCTGCGACCACGACCACTCGTGGCCGATGCTGGTTCCCGCTCGGGCCTGACGCAGATGAACGGAGGTTCTTGGCCTCCTTGTTCGTGACGATGATTTGCGCAGCTTGTCAAATAACTCCGCTGTCATCGTCAAGGTGTCCTCGACATGCGTCAGGGCATTGCTCAATGCCGGACATGACCTTGAGATGAAGTAGTGGCGGATGGCCTTGAAGCCCATCTGGATGTTTGGGACTGACGTCAAGCGTTGGTACTCGGCGATCCAGTACGTACTCAGCAGCGTGCCTTGCTCGAAGACCATGAGCTTGTCCATGGCTTTGATCTCTGGCGGCTCCACCTGGAACCGCTTGTGCCACGCCGCCTTCAGATCATCCCAGGTGATCATGGTGTGCAAGTCCGCTGCTACCACTCCGTGAGCGTGGTGCTTGTTTTCCTTGACGTTGTGGAGCTGCAGCGTGAGCTCGAACTTGCGAAACCATGAAATTGGATCTGTCTTGATTGAGTCGTGGAAGATCTCCTGCCCATCGAACTTAGGAGCTGTCTCGTGCGGCTCCAGACTCGAGGTGGTGGCGGTAGTGCAGATCCGCTGCTGCAACTGTTGCGTCGCGGTCTGATGTAACTGTGCGCCGTCCTGGAGGGAGCCGACGTGCATCTCCATTGCGGTGAGGCGGTCGGCAGTATTGGAAGAGCCTGCGTCTGCGGCGGCGACTGGTCGCTGCTCCACCCGCTGAAGGCGGTCTTGGAGCTGAGCTACCGAGTTGTCGAGACCAAGGATCTCCGCCTGCTGTGTAATGCAGGTTGCTAGGAGATCCGTGAGATGCGAGAGGAGCGCTATCTTGTTCGCGCTGTCCTCCAATTGGCTGTTCTCGGCCTCGCTTCGCCATTCTGCTGTCATGGTAAGTAACGCCCGCTCTCCGGCGAATATCTTCTCACGACACTGTGTTCTTTCTTCATCAGCAGCCCTTGCTGCTGCCTCGTCGTGCTGGCGCTGTTGTTGCACGGCCAGCAGACGTGCCTGTTCGGCATCCTCTGCCCTTTTCTTGGCTGCTGCGGCAGCGTCATCTGCCCGTTTCTTTGTCTCGGTACTCCAGGCTAACATGCGGGCCTGATAGGCCTCGTCTGTTTCCCCGGCTTTCTGGTCCATGACTGCTGTCTGTGAATGCAATAGCATAGACCAGACCAGTGCCTGCTGATGTGGTATCCCTTGTGGCTGACGTGGCAATGCTGACGTGTCCTGCTGACATGGCCTGGTGACGTGGTCTGCTGATGTACTTACGTAGCCTGCTGACGTGTCCTGCTGACGTGTCCTGCTGACGTGGTCTGCTGACGTGGCCTGCTGACGTGGCAACTTACCAATGCCGTCACGAGGGGTACCCGGAGACAACCAGAAACGGCAAGGCGAGAGATGGCAACAACGTAGGTGGGGAGGGGTGGGTGGGATAATCGCCCAACTCACACTTAGATAAGGAGCCACTAATCAAACCAGAAAAGTTTTGAACTTTGCAAAAAAAAATCGAGAAACTTAAAAAAATCCCGATTTTTGCAAGTTCGGTAGGTCTCCCAATCTCCCTTGAAGTACGAAATGATCTCTGAAAGCGAAAAAAAATTCGACTTTAGACTGCAACCGATTTATAGAACCAACTGACAGAATCCAAGAACTGGGAAAAAAAGTCCGAACAGAAATGACAAATATTCGGATTTATTCCGATGGAATATTCGCAGTTAAAAAAATCATACGTGCAGGAGGTATTTCCCGTACCGTTTTCAGAAAAACGGATTTCAGAAAAGAAGATACTCCGAAGTTCTAAGTATCGGGAAATGCAACAGAAAATTGAAATTTTCAAAAAGAAATATATTCCGGATTTTTATCAATGAAATTTTGAATTTTCAGAAAGAAAAACGAAAATAGGAATTTCAGATGTTGCGATATAGCAATTTTCCACAGCAGAATAGCGAGAAAATAAAATCCGAGAAAAGAAAAAATTTCGATTTTTTTTTTTTTTGTAGTAAGGTCAAGATCGTGATTTTGGGGTCTAACTAGTATGTCCTAATCAAACAGAAAAGACTAACTAGCTTTTTGATCCCCGCACACGTGTCAGATCAGATTGTCCTGATTCACGTGCAAAAGCTCCGATACCAACTGTTACATGCACAGATATGCAATGTATACAATAAACCGAGAATCTGCAATGTGATGAAAAGGACTGAATAGACAATGCGGTTACGAGAATCTCG